AGTGTTGTGGCACGCCCAGCTGCCGGTTCAACCCACGCCATTTTGGATCCGTGCCGTCCCTTCTTTGAGCTTAGGTGCGAGTTTAGTCGTGCCAGTCAACATGTACACTCTCCCGCCTCCGGTCTTCTTGACTCCGTCCTGAGACCGGACCCAGGTGGGGGAGGAGGAGGAGAGGATGCAGCAGATGCTGCGCAAGTCTACCCTCACTATAAACCAATTCACACGCAATTCACCGCTCCTAATCTCACCATTTTCACGGTGGACACGGTCGGTTGCGACGGTCGAACTGTCGCTTGTGGGCGTGGGTGTAGTGAATGAGGAAGCCAAACCGCCCGCCTAGGCGTGTCACGCCCGACCTGATTCATAGCTCCACACGCGGTACGCTGCGGTGGGGCCCTCGGATATCATGGTGTCATAAACGCTTCGTTATGCCGGCCAACATGCGCACTCTCTCGCCTCCAGTCTTTTTGACTCTGCACTGAGACCGGACCCAGGTGGGGGAGGAGGAGAGAGTGCAGTAGATGCTGCGCAAGTCTACTATCAATATAAACCAACTCACGCGCAGGTCACCGTCCCCACCCTGCGGTGGAGCACACAAATGGCAACAACGGTCAAATTGTCGTACAAACAGACGGTACGCCATCATTCCGAAACTTGTTATCGAAGACTACCCCTTCCGTTACGGACAGTGATAATTCGCACCAACTATTTGGATAATGGCGGTCAGTCCATCTTTTTACGTGTCCTATACCTCAACAGCCATCAGGCTTTCTTAGGAAAAGTAGGCTCGACCTTTAGAACAAAAATTTTAATCGGATTTTCTCTCGTGTCTGATTCGGCGCCAGTTACCTCTGCTTTCCTGGGCAACCGGACGGACGAAATGCCCTCTGACCTGTCTAATCGTCGAAGACTATAAAATAGCCTCGGACATTGCCTACCAAAGGCCTACCCCCCCCTGCCCCCCTGACCACCGTGCTTGACTAATGGGACTTAAGAAAAGCCTGTTCAAGCAAGCAGTCAGGAACTAAGACTGACGACTGTTGAACGACACAGATGAGAACATGTTGTGAAAACAAGGCGGAAGTACAAATGGGAGTCCTTTATCTGTCTCAGGGACAGATGCAGGTACTGGAAGTTTGCTTCCTGTTGACAGGTTCTACCCCAGGAGTTAATATTGGCTATAACTGGGACGGCAAAACAACTGAAGGCTCATCAAAATTGTTCTCTTTGGTTGTAAACAACCGTCAGGGAGCCGCTTTCCGGCTGTGACTTCAGCAACCTCGGTTCCGATCCACTGGCGTACTCTAGCGTGACCTGATATACCTCGTCTACCTGGAGAATAATGTCCTTTTCATCTAAGCAAATCTTCTAGAGCAGTGTTAGTTAGGGTTTTATGCTTTTTCATGGCCGATATCGGAGTGCTTTCACAACCGGGGTATTATGATGTTGACACAATAATTCTACAGTTGCCCTGGGTGAAGGAACTAACGGCTACTTCCCTGGTTCTGTCAGAAGAGCACACGAGACCAAATGTACCTGCACATTAATCCATGACGTCCCTTATGAATGGTATCGGCTGTAGGAGGGGCAAGGAAGGTGGCAGTCCCTCAGCAAAGTTCGAAGTCGAAGTGCAGTTACTCCAGAACCTGTGCAGTTCAGAGGATTCCCCATCTCTCTGATGACCTACCGACCTGTTGGCCGCTGAAAACACTAACAGGGGTGAATTTAACGTGATCGATCTCTATGCATTTCCACTGCAGCAGTTCAAACTCGGCTGGATAGTGCCACAGACAAAAAACAGCGGGCTGAAATGACAACTTCCGATTTCTTTGACGTCATCGGCCAGCCAGACTCTAAACCCAGATGGGCATCCCACATCTCTATGGGGAACACTTAATCATCAGACATTTGCTAAGTGAACGCCTGCTGATCGAATTAGGAATTTACATACCTAACGGTCTAAACTTTGCGGGTGTACACGGCAGGGTCAAGATCGAACGCCACAACACCCGTTGTTTTGTCAGTTGAAAATCTTCTGAGACACTTCACAAACCCCAAATCTACGCATATGGGACCATTGAAGTCTCAGCGACCGAGGAGTGGCCAAGATCTTCTATTCCTTCCAAAGATGTCTGCGTTGTGGGTAAAGGCGTATGCGTAGACGGATTATAGAGCTCTGTCGGATACTAGCGTCCAATCCCAACATCAGATGACTGACCTTTTTTAGGACAGTGGACTGGTGCATGAGAGAGAGAGAAGAGGGAGTGAAGCCAACTCTATGGATTCTAGACACTTCAAAGCATTTCCCGACTGCAAACGAGCAGACGTGCTTTAAACTATCACGAGGCTTTAAAAGTCGTGGCACGGAAGTCTACTAATTGACGGGATAACGCGGTCCTCCCAGGATAATCATCAGGCTGAAATGACTCCATTTTGATGCGGCCTCTATTACCCCCATATGCGATACGAGACGACTGCTCCTTGTTTCTGTAAAAAACCAATCCATAGCAGGTGGCCGGGGCGTGCGTGGCACGCGTAGACGGGCTGTTTGATTTTGTCAGCCGCCACTTTCGAACTCGCGTCCGATCGTCACTTCCATCACAAAAAACTGATTTACACGCCATCCACTGTCCTACGTCCTCCATAATATGCGACATTCGATGGACATCGTCGTTAGTCACGGTCGGACTTTTTAAGCGTGGCTTTGACGACGCGCGGTTGTGCTGTGGCAAGGACTATCCTGCGGTTTGACCCTGTGGATTGTTGGTAGATTTGAAAAAAAAATCGTTCGACCTAATCGTGAAAACAGGGCGATTCAGGTTGTTAGATCGGTGGCTGTACACAAGCCTTTCCTCCGCTGTCGTGCGTTCGAGTTCAGCCGAGGTCTCCGAGTTTTTCACAAATGGGTCAAATGAAATGTTCAAATCTCCCAAAAACACCAATTAATGAGGTGGTGTAGTTTTTCGTATGGTACATGGTAGTATTATGACTGTGGAATTGAGTTCTCAAGGCCGAAATTGTTAAAACGGTTAGTCCATGCCTTTCCGCCCCTCCCCCCCAAGCTAGCAGCAGGAAGGATTGTGTGCTTATTTCCGTCTTCCTATACTCCTAGTACAGAAATAAGCTAGTTTGCTGAGTTTGCGCGGTCGCATATGGCAACTTCAAGGGGTCCGGTTCATCAAAGGACCCCCCACCCCCACCATCCCATATGTAATTTCCTTTTCAGGATTAACATTTTTAGGGTCGGGTGTCTGTATTCGAAACGTGGTGAAACGATATGTCATTGTTAGTTTTTCAGGTTTAAGGATATGGATTGTCTATTGGGGCTAGCTGAGGTCAGCCAGTCAAAATGTTGGACTCGAGTCAAAGTTGAAATCTGGCTTCACAACAGGAACCATATGGAGACGCTTGGGAAATCACTGATGACCCACAGAAAATCGATGTTACCTGTACGGACTTCTGATCATTATTCATATTGTGACTATGGCGACATCAAGGCAAATCAAACAGTCTACATCGAGACAGTATCGGCAGTGAAAGCAGCTTATGAAGTCATTTGGTGCACCTTGAGGTCGCGCGAGGGAATTTTCAGAAACTTCTCATTACCTGAAGTCATGGTGAAAAAGCGGACACTGAGGGAAACAGTTACGCCGTGTTGTTACGCACATGCTTTTAACAGAAGCAGTTGACATCTTTGGCTAAACTGGCTTATGTCGCCTCAAGTGACCACGCCCACCGCTTCCCCACGATGTCGGTGCAGCAGAGTTGACTTGCATATGAATTTGTTTGTAGTGGAGCGTACCTGCGTCGCATTTGCCTCTCTCTATCTACCCTCCCCCTCACCCATCTTTTTCTAATGTCAGTTTAAAGGCCAGACGACCGGAGATGGGAGCAGGCAAAACTTAATGGCCCGTCTACGCCTGCCACACTCGAGCTCGCCCCCACTCGGGATGTATCGGGCTTCATTCCGGGGGGGGGGTTGAGTCTCAGATAGCTGGCAGATGCCGACTAGCAAGAAGCCATAGCTGTGTGATCCCTGAGGAGAACTGACTTATCCAGTCAGGTGGCCACTTTCCAACCAAAGACTGATAGTGCGCCATTATGGGTTCATTGGCTTGTCCTAGTCGAGCCCACTGGAATTACGAATGGGTGGTAACGACGAAGTGTCATGATTGTCGTTATGACAAGGGTTAGGCTTAAGTGTAGGCGTATGTTTAGAGTTATTGTCTGGTTTGGAATTACGATTAAGGTCACACTGTTAGGGGCAGCAGTTAGGGTTAGCTGTAGTTGTCGACCCTAGGGTTACGGCTGTCACTTCGGTTAGGGTTATAGTTAGGCTTTGGCTTAGTCATAGGGTAGGGTGGGCTAGAGAAAAATTTCAAGGACAGGTGACCCCAAAGCTGTTGTGAGCCGTTTCTGTCACCGTCCCCATGATGGGTTCAAGTGCGAATCCGAAACGTCAGGCGAATAAAGCCCTTGTTCCAGCGATCGCTTCTACTTCTTATGGGAGCATAGTCTCAGCTTACATCGCAGATATTCATACAATTCAGGCAGAATAGCATTACCGACAAAGACAAGGTAGACTGCCAGTAATGCTATTCTGTCTATATTACGCCCCACAGTGCGGCTGCTGCTGGCGGGGCTCGAGAGAGAACCCCAAGACACAACGGGACGAGTGAGTTCCGTAAAAACGACTTGGCGCGCCCCCTCTACTTTCCATACAATTTCTGACTGCATGCAGACAATCTTACTGACTAGGGGCGATTTTTCCGCTGGTATTCTTTCCAACAGGTGGGACAGGGTATCTGTCTGCGCGACGGGAAAACGTCTCGGGTGCTGATCTGAGGCGTTCTTTGAGTGCGTTCTCTTGAGATTACTCTGTCCAGAAACCCGGAACAGAATTCTGGAAAGTGACCCGCTCCCCCTCCCCCCTTCCTCCCCCTTTCCCGCATTCATGCAGACTGTCATGGCTTTGAACGGACATTTGTCAGTCTGGACAGATGGTAGAACGAAAGACTGATCAGGCTTCGATTTGTAGCCCTGGGCCGCGTGAGGCCAGTAAGCAAACATCGGCGCCAGGAAGTGTCTATATACGAAATCAATGAGGATAGTCGTTATTATTTTGCAGTCAACCACGAACCTTTTGAATTGTTAACCGAAGTTCTGGAATGCGTTTTCGAACAGGAAGTGCTACTTAAGTGGGTTTTTAATATTGCTTATCCTGCAGTATAATTCGAGGATAGTTCAGTCAAGCCAGGGTCTCGACTTTTAAATGCCCTTATCTTCGGCGGTCTACAGAACCGCACTTATGCGGCAGAATTGTCTCCCATTTATTCTCGTTTTCCTTATATATCCAAATATATTTTGTACAAGTACAAATAAAATTATTCTTTCTTGTATTACTTTTATACTCCGAGAAAGGGAATCTTCCGATTGTGAAACTTTTTTCAGTTCCCGAATAATTTGGGACCCGAACTACCTTTGCATTTGAGCTTAAGGTTTACAGTATATGCTTTTAATATAAGGAAAATCGTACATTCTTCCGTACAGTTAATATGTCATATAGGATTTCTAAATTGTGAAGTGGGTGCGAACAGTGACGTATGCTTCACAAGGAGCATAACGGAACGGGCAGATATGACGTCTTTCGTGTTGACACTGCATGATCTTAAAAATATTATAATTAGAAACTTTGGCAAGGATAGGTTGAAGGCCCCCAAGCATCTGTGGCATACAAAGAATACCTACTATACTTATTTAAGAGGGTTTTAGACCGGCACGATTATTTTGGTTTGGTGTTTCATCGTACAAGGTTTGGTCGTCTGTTGTAGACGGTCCGGCGAATTATCTACAGTCACCTTAGCTCAAAAAGTTGAGAAACGATCGTTATAGACGGTCTGGTGCATTATCTACAGTGAACTCAGCTCAGGGAGTTGAGAAGTAATCGTTATAGGCACTCTATGTTTATTTTCTTAATTACCTTGCTTAATTTCCATTGCTATATGTCAATGCATTAGAGCTTCTCCGCCCGAAAAACGGATTTACCAATGATCTAGACTTATTTCGCCATTCTTCTATGCATACATAGGCCCCGCCCGTAAAACCCCTATTACCGTAAGACAGGCACATTTGGCTGGACGTGTGTTTGCGGTCCTTCACCCGATCGTTGTCAAAACTTTTATAATCGACAGATACCCTTTCACAAAGTATTAAATTCGAAGAAGACATAATTTACTACCAAAGTAGAACAATGGATGCTTTTGTTCATGTTTCGTATACGACGCATTTGGATTTATATGGCAGCGAAAATCAGTCGAAACGACCATACTACTTAGGTGGCCATTATATCGAGTGCGGTCTTCGTAGGTGACCGGAGAGAAGTAAAGTTAAAAGCCGACGCCCTGGCACGACTGAAATATCCTAGAATTAAGCTGCGCGATAATTAATATAACAACCCCATCCAAGTAATTCTTCCGTATCAAAAACTAATTTTAGAATTTCAGTTAACATTTCATGAGATTGCACACTAAGTGTATATGCCTCTAGCAGGGTAGAGCACACCTTAGTGGGAGTGGGATTTGCCATGATACTCGGCAAATGATTGGAGCCTGAGAGGCCAACGGAAAGTCATTGTTTCGGCGTGTTCAGAACTGTCGGCAGAGAAGGTGAATCGCGGTGGACGCTTGCAGGCGCGGGAGCAGCAGATTCCCAGCTGTCTCACGGCAAATACCAATCCCTTTAGCTCTGGACAGATGCGCACTGCACATTTCCCACTAAGCCCTGGGTTTGGTATGTCTGACTGGCGACGGCTAGTAAGCCAGAAACGGCTATTCAGCCTCCGTTGTCTTTGTCGGCAGTGTCATCCTGCCTACATCATGCGCCGCTGAGCGGTTGCTAGGAGGGCATGAGATCGAATCCTCCCCCCCCCCCTCCAGCGCCACTCCAATGTCATCACTGAATGTCGTGCAGAATGCCCGCGTAGACGGGACCAGTAAAGCCAACCCACCCAGTATTTCCATCCCATATTAACACGCACGTTCCAAAACTGTACATATTCCGCCAAGTTCTGAGTTGTCTGAGTATTTAACCGTGCTCGTTTACGTTACCATGGTTATATTCTGCACTATATCAATTGAAGTAAATCCCCGCTATGCTGCTGTATGAAGTTACCACGGCCTACGACACACTCTACGACGAGGCGAGCATGCTTTCTAATGTGTCATTTTCCGGATATATAGATAAACATCAGCGGAGCCCTTATATAGTCCAAGAAAATAAATAGGATGAACATACTGTTGAACAAATCACACAGACGTCTACCCAACGCCAGTACGCAGTAACCATGCAAACAGGGATGGTTTTGGTAGAATAGCATTACCGACAGAGATAGGGGAGACTGAAATGGCCATTTCTGGCTTCTTGGCCGTCGTCAGCCAGTCATGCCCAATCCCCAAGTGTGGAACACCTGGGGCTCAATCCCGCGACCTGTCGGTCAGAAGTCTAAAGCCTCTAACCACTGAGCCACGGGCTCGTTGTCCTGTCTCCCTTGTCTTTGTCGGTAATGCTATTCTGCCTATATCACGCGCCGCTGTGCGGCTGCTAGTTGGGCTCGAGAGGTGCCCTAAGTGATAAGTGAATTCCGTAACATGGTCGGTGAGCGCCCCTCTACCAGGGATGGTTTTATTTTCAGTCCTGCTAAAATTTTTTAAGGATTTTGCGAAATAACTATCCATCGCGGGTGGACTAGAAGTTATCAGGAAACGGAACGGAAAGAATGTTGAAAGGACACAGGTTTCCAGACGGTCTTAGCCCAAAATACACTAACTGATTTCTGGCTATTTGATGCGAGAGCATTTACTGATGGCTGCACCGAGGCAGAATACACAAGCTCTGCTGAGTAATTTCATCATGGTCATAATCTCCGCTGGACTGACCAATGGGAATATGGCCAGGATTTTTGACGAATAAGTAATCTTTGGGTAGCGTCACTTGTCAGAAGTGAACAGAAATGGACGTCAAGATGGCACCTTGGAGAATGCCGCAAAGTTGGAACGCACGGCAAACTGGCTAATTGGAGCTCGGATAAGAAAGACTGTTCGCAGCTGATGAAGAAATTCAGCCGTGGTAGTAGAGGAGAAGGCGAATCGCGGTTGACGCTTTCAGGCGCGGGAGCAGCAGATTCCCAGCTGCTCAACGGCAAATACGAACTCCCTTAACCTTGGACAGACGCGCACAGCACATGTCCCGCTAAGCCCTGGGTTGGGTATGTCTGACTGGTGACGGCTAGTAAGCCAGAAACGGCTATTCAGCCTCCGTTGTCTTTGTCGGCAGTGTCATTCTGCCTACATCATGCGCCGCTGAGCGGTTGCTGGCAGTGCATGAGATCGAATCCCCCCCAGCGCCATTCCAATATCACCACTGACAGACGCGCACTGCGAGTGTATGAGTATCACTGGACCCGGTCTCACAAATTACGGTGCATTCCTTCGCCCCAAAAAGCATTAGGCGGGAAACAGACGCGACAACTGAGCCCCCCGGGAGCCCAGTGGTAGCTGACTGCACTCGACCATGTTGTTGAAAATGAAGCTGGCTAATGGCAGTCACCAAAAGAACGCACACTGATGGACATGAGCAGGGTTCATCAGTTGCCGGGTTGACATTGTGGCTGTACTGCTGCGCATTAGTGTTCCGCCACAGCAACACGTTGTCTTCCCCCCCCCCGTGCCTGCGTCGGAGAGTCAGTGTTGGAGCTTCTCTGTTCCACCGACACACTGCACAGTTCAACCTTCTTTGAGTCACACAAATTGCGCACTAACCGAGTCGGGCCCTCCAACACGCCAAACCACTGCCACCCCCGGCTAACCTGCCCCACTTCTGTGGTGCTTTTAGTCCGGTGGTGAGGAATGGTTGTGAGAACTGTAACACATTTTATGGCAGCCAAGAAGCAGCCTCAGCTAACCCGGCTAGTGCCAGGCTAAAGAAAAAGTCACTACGAAGTTAACCTGTGACCCATTGGCTTCTCGCCTGTCTCTAGGGCCTGAGACCTGCTACTCTCGAGTCGCGTCTTTGGAGCCGCATCTAAATTGCCAGTTCCGCTGTGGAGCAAAAATTCTCCGAGACCGGTGGGTCGCATTTCGCACCCACGACTTGAAGGCTGCTTTCCAGTATGCCATCGCAGAGGCCTGGTAAATTTTCTTCCGTTGCTTCATCAGACTTGACGGGAATCAGCTGTTTTGGGCACGATTTTGTTAGTAAAATTGCCTCTGCTTATTGCACAAACGAGGTCTCATTAATTTATCTGCGCCCCTTCGAGTCTGAGGTGGACATTTGTGGCGCTGTTATGCACGACTGACCGAGGACGTTCAATAAACCCGGGTGAAGGACACCAAACACGCAAATGACCAGCCAAAGGTGCCTGTCTTACGGGGAAGGCGGCAATAGGGGTTTTACGATCGGGGCTTATGTATGCATACAGGGATGGCAAAATAAGTACGGATAATTGGTAGATTTGTTTTTCGGGTGGAAACGTTTAAATGCATCGACATACAGCAACCGAAAATAGGCAGGACAGCTAAAAAATAAACATAGAGTGTCTGCAACGATCGCTTCTCAACTCTCTGAGCTGAGGTCATTGTAGATAATGCGCCAGACCATCTAAAACAGACGACCAAACTTTTTACGATGAAACACCAAACTGGAATAATCGTGATGGACCTAAATCCACTTACATAAGTATAGTAGGTATTTTTTGTATGCCACAAATGCTTGGGGGCCTTCACCCGATCCTCACCATCTAGTCTCCCACCCCTTTTCTGTTCGACATGCATCTGCTAAAGGAGATGGTAAGATGTGGTTATGTAGCCGCACCTGATGGACACAATGCTGTTAACATAATTAATTTGATTTGGTGTGATTACGTTGAAATGGTGCTGTTGTGCGTTGCAGTGTGTGATCTGTTGGCAGCCTTGTTTCTTAACTGCCGTTTCTACCATTTTCGGCCCAACGATGGTGGTCCTTCTTGACTTTCGGTCTGTCGTCTTCTTCTAACTTTCGCGTTGGATGTTTCAGGGTTAGGGTTAGGGGTTAGGACCGGGGCTTGGGGTTAGGGGTTAGGTCAACTATTTCTCAACCACTCAAAGTACAACGGCGCATTCCCAATAGCCTTTCTTTTACATACAATTACTCAACCTCGTCGCCTGTGCGTTCCCCGGCCCCACCTGTAAAAACCCCTATTACCACTGTTCCCGTATTACAGGCGGCTGGTGTTTGTTTACATCAGGTGCGGCTACATAACCATTTCTGACTAAGGAGAGAACAGTGAGATAGTGCGGGAAATAGAGTGAACGGTGGGGAGAGTAGAAAAGGGAGAGGGGAAGAAGAAAACGAAGAAGGTGCCAAGAAGGGGATGATGACGATGATGATGATGATGACGACGACGATGACGACGACGACGACGACGACGACGACGACGACGACGACGACGACGGGGAGGAGGAGGAGGAGGAGGAGGAGGAGGAGGAGGAGGAGGAGGAGGAGGAGGAGGAGGAGAAGGCCAGTGATGCCGGCGGCGACAGAATTGTGCTAGACTGTCCAATATATCATTCCAGATTAGCCGGCATAATATTTTAACCCTCCTGCCCCCTTTTATCTGAGCTTAGCACCCCGTAACAGTTTAGTTCGGTACTCTGAGGCGACGTTCACATGGGAAAACTGACCTCTCAGCGGCGTACGGCAGTTCTTGTCAACTGCATTACTTTTGATACCGCTAGTGGTGACCGCACCCACCAGTACCTTTGGAATGTCTTTTCCCACTGACCCCTTTCCCAACCAGCCAGCATGCGTTTACTGATCTGTCTGATCCATTCCTGCATGTTACTCATGCCTCCAGCAGTTTGGAATTCATGCAGTTATCGTCCACTACAAGACTTCCGATTGTACCAAACTTGCACTTACACTCTGATGGTGTTGAGTGTCCCATGACTGCTGCTGTGTAGGCAGTAATTTTTGTCCGCTAAAGCTGTTTTGGTGCGTATAAAATGAAGGTTACTTCCATTTCAAGGGGTGGGGGACGAATATAACTTCATTTCTGTCGAAAACAAGTTTTTTCTTGTTCTTCAGATGGCCAACTTCCTGGAAAATACTTTCAGATGGGTCAGTCTCTCGAGAGGGTGAGTTTCTTTCGAAGGATTGCTTTGGATCTGTACACAGTCCCGATCCCGTACGGAATGAGAGGGCGGCTACCGGCCCCCCAAATGCTGCTGGTACATAGAATTTGACTCCTTCACGCCGGGATCCTTCACCTCAGTTTTGCCTGCACAGCCGAGCTAATCGTCTGAAGTGAAGCTGTTTACGCCTTCCGGGTCAGTTCGATCTGCGACCGACCGCGTGATTGCTGCTGAGGCTCCAATACCCGTCGGGCGTTTGTTACTGCTCCCTGGATGCTTTTCGGGAGATCCCTAGAATGTTTCTGACTGAGACAAGCAAGGTTTCTGTGCCAAGCAAATTAGAAGAAACGACACTCTAAGACTTCCAGACAGCAGGCAGCCGCCACTTCCGGTGTAAAAGTCCGACGAAAATATTGCTACGTCACATTGGCATGAAAAGTAGTCGTGCTCTCATAATACATGTTAACTGAAATTCATAGATGTTTTGGAACATTTTGAATAATTCATATTGGCCCAACTGTGAAAACTCGGCGCCTCGGTGGGATTAGAACCCACGCAGTAAGGGGATGGCTTTAGTACAGCCAACGCTAGAACCACTTGAGCCACGAGGCCCCGCCGGGCGACTGAAAAACTCGCGTCGTCCCTTCCCTCTACTTTATGGGTTCGAAACCCATCGAGGCGTCGAGTTTTGTACAGTTGGGTCAATATGAGTTAACTGAAATCCTGAAATGCATCTTCAGTTCGAAAAGATCCCTCAAGTAGAGTTGTAATACTAATTATAGTGTGGCGGAATCCTAAGATATTTTAGTCACGCCAGGATGCTGGCCTTATTTTCGGTCGTCTACAAAAACTGCACTCTGTCGAAAAGACTACTTGAGTAGTATTAATTTTCTCGTTGGTGTTCGATACCCTTGCATATTCGAATAGGTCGCGCAGAAAACATGCTCAAAATATTTCCACTTGTGCTCATTTAGTAGCAACGTACACAGTATTCAAATCTTCTACCTGAATAGAGGGTATTCTGTCTTCAAATAGAAAAGTTGACAATTGTGTAATTTGCTATCAAATGAGCACAAACGAGAATACTTTTGTGTATGTATTATAGTTCATGTCTTAGCTTCTGTAGTTCCATCTCTTCACACGTAAGATAGCGTGCCTGGAATGACAATACAGAAGCTCGAAAAGCCAATGTGCCACAAGACATAAGTCGGAAGCTGCGGCGCATCGGGCGGGAAGGTTTCGCAGAAATAAAATCAGAATGCAAGGGATGGGCAAAGTCATCTATAATTCGACCAGCAAATTGCTTGACCCTATTGAAATGTTGTTGTAGGATAGTGTCGACAAAAAAGATAAGAAACACCAGCGGCAGAAAAAAGCATTCAGATGACTTGTTTTAAAATTAAAAGATCTTTTTTGAACAAAGCAGGAAAAATGACAGGAGAGCAGTATAGAATAAGAGGAAGAATGCAGGCATCGATGAATCGCCAGACTAAGGATTGAGGTGTGTGGTGGGAACGTAAACCACGGATGTAATAAAGAAGTTTACTAAGTGTAGTAAATTGGGACTCACTATGGAGGGAAAATGAATGATTTGATGGCAATTTAAGCCAAGGTACCTGAAAGAGGATACCTCGCTAGGAAGGATGTCAGAGGATTCAGGACTAGGAGAGGGCCGCAGTCGGAAAATACACTGAATTTATTTTTGGTTGTTCATTAGGAGAACGTGTTCCTCTGATCATACTAGGACGTGGTTTAGGCCATCCTTTAGAGACGTTTAAGATTCTTCCAGATTTCAGCAGAGGAAGGGGGGGGGGAAAGGGGGGAGGAAGAAGAGGTAAAAATCTGACTAACAAACGGATTATTTAGCCTGTAAATCTCTGTTTTCATTAAGACGGTAACGTTCTTAAAGCTGTCACGTAAGTCTGGCTTAAAAAGGAGTTCTTTTAAATATATACGAGTATCGAAAAGCAGTTTTTACGGACGACCTCAAAGAGGCGCATTCCAAGGCCAGCAGCCTGATGTGACTGAAATATCTTGGTTTTATGCGACACGATAATTAATATTACAACCCTTCCTAAGTGATCCTTTCAAATCGAAAACATATTTCAGAATTTCGCTCAGTATTTGCTTTGATGGGACCCCGACCGGTCTTTAATAAAAAAATATTATTGTTATTTCACGAGATAGCACATCTACTGCACGTCGTTATCATAACAACACGAGTCCTACCGTTTGCTTTGTCGCAATCCGTCCTTGCGTCCTTTTCTGCTCTCGAGAGTCCCCTGAGCTCAGAGGCAGCCTGCGTTCTACAAAGTAGGACTTCCCCCCCCCACTGATTTTATTTTCGTTTAACCTCTGGCTGGGGTGTGCGTATTGAGTAGAGGGAGCCATTCGGATGGACGTTAGTACGCATTTCCCAGTGGTGCCACCCGTCATGCTGATCTGACTTGAAACTTCACGAAGCTAATACGTACACAAGGCCACGGCCAACGAGCTTTTGGACATGGCAAACTAGGCCGGACGACTGAGCTAGCCTATTTTAGCGTTGCGGTAATTACTTTGTAAGTAAAATCCGGTTCGGTGGGAAGGAAACCAGAGAAACACCGTGGTACGCCTAGAGCAGAGTGGGATGTGAAATAAGCCATTGGCTTAGCCACCGGTTTCAGTCATCTAAAGCTGGAGCGAACGAGGGGAGAGGCAATGAATCCGCACCGCAGAGATCCCTCAACTTCTTTTTCCTCTATCTCTTCTCCCTCCTCCTCCTCCTCCTCCTCCTCCTCCTCCTCCTCCTCTTCTTCTTCTTCCTCACATGAAAACTTAAGAGCGGGCAAACCATATATGTCTTAGTTTCAGTTTTAGTTTATTTGAGGGAAACATAGGTGTTGAAACTTTGAATTCCCTATTTGTAACAAGGAAGCGAAATATATCAAAAAATTAAAAATGGAACCATCAAACAGCTACAGAAGTTTTTTTTCAGATTGGCAAAGTTGTCGAAACCAGACAGATACGAATTGTTCCAAGTGTTGAAAACAATTAACGTTACTAAATGTGCTGTACAGTAATCTGTCTATGGATAATTGGTGCTATCTCAGTTCCTGAGGGAGACGAATGTCAGCAAAGTAATTAACAGCGTCAAAGTTATATTGTACGGGTCGAGTGACAATGGCAAATATGTGAAACATCGCCGTCCTGGACAGATCTAGAGACGTTTCGGCTTGCTTTTGGTTTGTTCACTTTGGTCAGACAGCAGTGAGCTCGAAGGCTGTCTGGTTGGTTGATAAACCCTCAGTATATATATACAAATACATAGGGCTGTTAGGCGCTTGAAATCGCGATTAAGTAGTCAGTTAACACAGCTGTTTTTCAGACCCCGACACACCCGTCAGCGCCTCCCTCCGTTGCGCATATTTACATCATCACCCGTGACCTCTTGCCCTCCTGAAGTAAGGCTAAGTCTCCGGATTCAGCAAGGACTGCAACCTGCTTTTTAACCAACCAGACATTCCCGTGAAGGTAATTCTACCGAAAAGCGAACCTCTTCTACACCGAACAGATTCGCAGGATTTTCGTCTCCCGCTCCAAAATTGACACCGGCGATTAACAGATCGGCGTTTTTGCCGAATAGCTTGTTCATAACGGATCCGGTTCCTCCCTACAACGATTTCAGCGGCTGTACCTACCAAGCAAAGTCGCACACGGAGTGGTTAGTATTTTAATGAGGGAATATTGCGCAAACCTCGAGGGCAGACCTTGTTAATGTGGTGCTAACACGCCCACTTAACACTGCACTGACAGCGAAAACAACCTGTAACACGTATAAAAGGCCGCGAAAACATGTTCAACTGTTTCAAATGCCGCAGCGGCTAATTCCCCATTTAATGACTTCTGACGGTGCCGCGTGCGGCGACAGAACTTTGGAAAAAGGGTGCGGGGGGGGAGGGAGAGAGTGACGCGACCTGGTCACCCCACGCGTGCGTGAAGTCACACCTAATGCCCGCGTGGTGCATGTGTCACGCCCTGGCTATTTCCGCTGACCGCTTTTAACAACCAATCAGACTCGAGCCCGGTAAATCACGCCCACCATTGGCTGTTCGCTAACGGGTATGAAGTTGTCGTCTGCCTATAAAATGCCTGGACGATTATTGAGGCGGCTAAATTTGTGTAACAGTAAAGCAACCTCAAGGTGGATGGCTTTCTTTTCGATGCAGAGCCATTCCTTGCAACAGCCATGGGGCAGTGACTGGCCCCGACCTCTAGGAGAAGCGATAACAGCTGCTGCTGCCGCCGGTTCAATGCCGTCCATCTTCCAGGTGCTGAGATCCTCCTTCGAGGCGGGCAACCCACAAACACCACAACAGCTGCCCAACCTGGATGATGCCATTCAGAAGCAGTTATGCGCCACCTCGCTCCTGCAGCAAGCTCTTTTTGTGCTCTCAAAAAAGATGGATTACTTGGAGTCTGGTGCCGGTAAGTACCGTTCCCACATTGTGTATAAAAGTGGCGTTTCACCGACCACTCGTGTTTTCCTGTTTGTTAACATTAACAAGTACCAGTAAGTACCCAGCAATGGGGTGGTATTGGCACATCTAATGCTTGCTTGGGAACGGATGTTTTCGTGTACACCCTCTGGAATTCGTGGGCGGACGGAATGAACTAACATTTTGGCGACCGATTTAGTCGCTTTTTTCGTGTATTTTACTAGCATCGACGGTTATTCTAGTCAACAGCTCTCGTTGTCCAACTGGCTTCCTTCCTCCCCCCATGTTTGTGTGATGTTTAAAAGGGAAGGCGAGAATGACCATTTTTGTTCGCCGTCAGCCAGTCATGTCCAAATTCATGCGACCCCTGAGGTAGATGTTATATGAGCTGGGATGGGAATTCAACTCCTGACGGATACGTTCGGAAACAGTTAAACAGTTTTTCAAAGAAGTTTGTCGGCCGGGATTGGTTGCCGAATGTGCTGCAGCCCTTCGGGCCTAGTGGATAGCAAAAAGCAGCAAATAGTCGAAATGCTTCACAGGGGAAAGCCAAACCAGTAAATTATTCTTTGAACAGCAGTTCTACGTACGGTCGCTCCGCTCGATCGCCGCATCCTCAAGGAACGTAAAATAGGCACAAATCGAAATCCAACGTAAATAAGTACACACACTGATTCTAATTAGCGGTCAGAACGGCAGGCAGTTCACAAACGTATTCATACTTTACCACTGCAAAATGCCATCACCTACCGTGCACAAGACCTACCACCGCCGGCTACGAAACACCAGATCGACTACATGCTTGCTCACAGAACTTTGGTTTTGTGTGGGCCTGATCCCCAACTTAACGAGCGGATTCGACCTGTGTCTGTCGCGTGTAGACAAACATTCTGCCCTTATTTTCACCGTCATTTAGAGTCTTCAAAACGTAAGTAGGGAGTTTTGCGGACAGGCTTACTAAAAAACTAATGAAATGATGAAGCAATGGCGTGAATAAGCAAGGCGGGTTGAAACGACCGTCGTTTCTATTTCGTTTCCCGCCACATCCTGACTCAAAGCGGGGCATTTTAAAGTCCAACCTCCTACTGACTGGGGTCAGAAGTGTTCCATCACATGTGATCTTCGTTCACCGATCTCAAACGGGCATTCGAGATTTACCCTGAAAATTCCGCTTTGGTGCCTTCACAGACAGTCGCGTAAATGAAACATTAGCGCTCGTTTTCGAATTTACGGTGGAGTAGATCGATGAACGTGACCCACAGGGGGGAGTTTGGGTACTCCTGGTCGCAGCCAACTGTTCGTGGCCCCCGCGGCTCAAATTATATGGCATTTAACTTAGAACTTCACAATATCCAGTCTCGGGTTCAGACCGCACATAACGTGTATCCATTTGGGTGAACGGCCATCGTAGCAAGGGGGTTCCACCATCACGCCTAGGATATCAGTCTGTGCTCTACTGGGCAGTCGCATTGCAAATCATGAGGGTACAAGAAGGCCTACCTGCAAGGACAAGGAAAGCGTGGATTACCATTTTTGACATTTTAGCCGTCGTCATGCAGGCATACCCAATCGCAGGTTTGCTCAATCATTGTATCACGGGGTCGCCGTTCTGTTGGGATTCGGTATGGTTGCCTGACGACGGCCAAGTGGCCAGAAATGTCCATCGCAGTTTCCCTGGTCTGTGTCGGTACTTTTTCTGGGGGTGTGGTCGTCTGATGATGCGTAGGTGGGTCAGGAATTACAGTTCCCACTTCCCTTATTTTTGCTGATTATCGACCGACCGTTGCGGTGCGATCACCTCCAAGGCCAAGCAAGAGTGGCCATTTCTCTCTGTGGTCAGCGTAAATCGGTAAGCGGCGAACCCGTGTGACTTATAGAAAGCGTACGCAATTATCTAGGAGACCTTTGTTCATTCGGGAAGAACGATCTTTGGTTCTACGTGACGATGCCCGCCGCGCTCTATAACTGCCATTTCATCCTCCTACACTCTTATATATCGTACATATACGTATTGTGGAAAGAATATTTCCCAGGGTACCCATCATCCGGAGCATTTGCATATGAACCGTAAATTCTGTTTCTAGGCTCTGAATACGGGTAGGATCCGAAAGTCCAAACTCCTATTTTACTGCTATCTGTTGGCTGGGCCCTTACCGAGAGCGTTTGGCGAACGCCATCAGACTCCCTGATGAGCTAATTTCTGTTTTAAGACTATGGCGAAAAAAATTTTCGTGTACGGAAGTCAGGTTTGCAGGCGTAAAAATCACACGATTTCCCACTGGAGATGAACCTGTTAAATCCTGAAATTTACATCTGATGTTGACAGTTCTGATTCGGCCAGAGCTAGCCCTATACCCACCGGCCGTAGAGAAGTGTCGTGATTTGTTTGCTCCAGCTCCGACCGCCGTCTGTTTTGCGACCTCCGCTTCGCATCTTCCCAGCCTGGGTTAATGTATGACCGGGTAACATGTAATATGAACGAGAAGCAGTGGTTCTCTCAATCTTCCTTCTCGACGGGGAAATAACTGGCCTCGGCTGCAGGTGGTGAAGCAGGTTTCATCCTGAAAGATGGCGCGGATCTCATCTGAGTCGCCTTGGCATCGCCCCGCAAGGATGGCACAATTCGCTTTTTTACGTATCTGCTATTGTCTCTGATGATGGATTCGAGCAGGAATCCGAAACGTCAGGCTAATAAAGCTCTTGTCCCAGCGATCGTGTCTCCTTCTTCAAGACTACTTCCTGGGACTCGTCTCCTCGCTTCTATTGGAGTATTTATGATCAGTACCCGACTTCAAACATGACTGCCCTGAAATACTGAGAAGCAGCGGTTCTCTCAATCTTCCTTCTCTTTGTCGAAAATGCTTATTCAGTATTTCAGAGCAGTCATGTTAGAAGTCAGGTACTGATCGTAACTACTCCAATAGAAGCGAAGAGACGAGCCTTAGGAAGTAGTCTTGAAGGAGGAGACACGATCGCTGGGACAAGAGCTTTATTAGCCTGACGTTTCGGATTCCTGCTCGAATCCATCATCAGAGACAACAGCAGATACGGAAAAAAAGCGAATTGTGCGATCCTTTCGGGACGATGTCAAGGCGACTCAGATGAGATCCGCCCCATCTTTCAGGATGAAACCTGCTTCATCACCTGCAGCCGAGGCCAATTATTTCCCCGTCCAGCTAGTCTTTAGCGTCTTTGTGAGCGAGATCGATACAGCAGCCGCAGACGCGGGGGTGGTGGGCAGGGGAGGAGGAGGAGGAGATGATGTATGCGTGGAAACTGAGCCTGGCGTGGCGTAGTGCCGCACTGATTTGTTTTGCACGCCAACACTCGAGCAAGCTCTGTAGGTACACGGGTACTCGTCTGACGACTGACACACACAGGGGCGCGCCGAGAGGGGGATGGGCGGCGGCGCAGAGGGTAGGTGACCAGGATTCAGTACACTCCAGCCTACAGCATGGGAGACAGGGGGGAGGAGGGCAGGGGCTGCTCTAACTCAGGCTCCGTGAGCAGACTGTGCGTCTAGACATGCACACGAACCCGCACGCCATTGTGTGTGTGTGGGGGTACGGGGAAGAAGATCACTGCGTGCGTGTGTGCTTTGTTTGTGTGTATGTGTGTGC